GTCACATTCATCCCTGAGTTCCCAGGGCCTAGCCAGTGACTCAGCTACCCTCAACCTATTAAAGAGTCACTTCCCACCCTGGCAGGGGGCCTCAGTTTATTGGAGCATCATCCATTCACCAAAAGATTATAGGTTCGGTTCCCAGCAGGGCACATACCTGGGATGTAAGTTTGATTCCCAGTCAAGGCACATACCTGGGTTTCGGATTTGATCCCCAGTTGGGGCACATGCAGGAGACAATAGATCAATGTTCCCCTCTCTCCCTCTCTCCCTTCCTCTCTCTCTGAAAATCGCTAAATACATGTCCTCAGATGAGGATAAAAAAAAAATTCCAAGAGTGTCCAGTGAGGCTGAAGGCTGGCGTCCAGGACAACGGAAGCATCCAAGGCAGCGTCTGGAAGGGTCTGGTTCCCTCCTAGTGGGGAACAAGACTCCTGGGCCACACCAGGGCCCTACCAGCCCCTGCACCTACTAAAGTGGCACCTATGAGCAAAGTGACCCAATAACCCTCCCACTCAGCCACTCTTTCTGGGTTTTTTCTTTAATATATTTTTATTGATTTCAGAGAGGAAGGGAGGGGAAAGAGAGATAGAAATATCAATGATAAGCAAGAGAATCATTGATTGACTGCATGCTCCCTACTGCAGATCGAGCCTGCAACCCAGGCATGTGCCCTACCTGGGAATCAAACCATGACTTCCTGATTCATAGGTCAAGGCTCCACCACTGAGCCACACTGGACGGGCACACTCAGCCACTCTTAATGGAGTTGTCAAGGATGCCTGGGCACAGAGAAGCTAATTTATGGATTGTACCATGGCCTTGGCTGCTAGTTCTGCCCCTGACTGTGACATGTGCAGAGAGAGTTGACTGCTAGGAACAGAGAAACAGAGGGAGAAACCACCTCATCCCCAAATGCTTCGGGTTGTGTGGGAGGGACAACTTGAAATAGCAATCTGAGGTTGCTCAGGAGGCTTCTGAGGGACAGCTGGCAAATTGGACGGACCTACGGTCATCATGCAGAATGTAGGCTTAGACAGAACCTAAGAGACCCTCAGGCTCAGCCATTTCCTTGCTACAGGAGGGAAATGAGGCCCCAATGGGGCAGAGCCTTGCTCAGAGTGACCCCCAGCTGGCAGCCCACGGCTCTCCCTGGAGAAGCCCGGGAGACTCCAGACAACAGATTGGTGTCTGGAACTCCATTGGCCGCCTGCAGCCTGCCGTGGAGGGCCCTGTGTTCCCTGGGCCTGGAGCAGCCATGGAGCTCAGCGTTTGTGTTGTTGATGTGGGCCCTCGTGGGCCTCACTGGGAGTGGGAACTGAACGGAGAAAAGGCAGAAAGCCTTTGGAAAGGAGAAAGTGGGGGCCTGTCCACTTCCACCTGAAGGACCAGCAGCATCCTGAAGTACAGGTTCACCTCATTCCCTGCACCTGCACCCTTTCACATTGGACTTTAACTGGGCCCCAGGCAAAGCCATGGGAAGGAAGGGACCCTGGTGGAATAGTCCAGGAATCAGTGTGAGGAGCCAGAGAGCTGCCGTTACGGGCCCCTGAAATCACAGCTTCTGAGCAGTGGCCGCCTGTGCCTTTGGGAAATATTATATCGCTGTCAGAGGTTGCTACCCCCACACTGGGGAAGGAGCGATGGTGGCGTGAGACCCTGAGTCCAGGGGTGCAGCCTCCAGCTACTGGTAGCACTTCTTTCATTCCTCTTTCATACATTCAGTTTAAGTGATCCTGTGGAACTTCTAGAATCAAATCCCACAAGCCTTTGGCTACCAGTTGCCCATGGGACTGGAGTATTGATATGGGAGTCATAAAGCACTCAGATGCTGATGCCAGACAGCACAGGTTCAAATCCCAGCTCTGCCACTTAGAAGATGAGTGATTTTGGACAAATTACCTAACCTCAGTTTCCTTAGCTATCAAGGGGCCTGATAAAAGTCTCCCCTAGTGCTGCTGGGAGCATGCACTGAGTTCATTCAACGAAGGCACTTAGAACAGTGCCTGGCTACAGGAAGCACTGAGTCAGGAGTGGTTGTGGCTGGTCATTCCTGTACATGTTGCCAGAATGTCATTTGGTCCCTGAACCTGTGGGAGGAGCGGTGGGGTACTCTCAGGGCATTCAGAGGGCAGAGGGCAGTGGGCAGGGGCAGGGGAAAACAGGATGGGATGCTGGCAAATTGATGGGGGTGACCTCCCAGCCTCCAGTTCTGCTGTGACCCCCAAGCCCTTCTGAGAGGCAGCATCTTGAATTGCCTCCCTGCCATTCTCCCTGCCAAAGAGCAGCCAGCCTGGAAGGAGCATAGTCTACCTTTAATGGAAGTCATGGATGCTTTGACAAAGGGGACGCCTTGAAGAGGAAGGGGTGGCCTGGGCAACAGGTCAGGATGCTCTCCTCCTCCAGGGCAGGGCCGGTGTGCTGGCTGGGGGCTCAGAAGATAGCGGGGACGATGTAATCAGTGTGAACACCATCGACCAGGCTGGCCCCATTGTTGTGGACAAACCAGCAGGTCACCTGGGCCCCATGCCGGGGGTCCTTGCTGTAGTCTTTTTGCAAGCCCTGGGGAGAGACAAGGCGGCTGGGGTCACCTTTAGGATCCAGCAGGGCTACACCTCCCAGGAAGCTCACCCCCCCCCATGTGACACCAGGAGGAAGACTTGGACCATTGATGGGCAACGCCAAGGGCAGAGATGCTAGGAGAGCAGCCCACCCACCTGGTGACGGTAAGTCGTTGGTTCTTCACCACCATTGTGGCGTCTGTCTTTGTGGGGTCAGAGCCTGGGTGCAGGTCAAACACTTTATAATCAAAGGGGTGAAAGAATTGTCCTGGAAAGGCACGTTGGAGGCAGCAGTTACTGGCAGGGAGCTTTGTTCATGCCTTGTACTTAGTAGGTGCTCACTGGAGGTTTAAGAATTGCTTGAATTTTTTCAAGAGCTTGACTGTTTCTCATAAATTTTGGCATCAATGCCACTCACTTAGTTCACCTGCTATAGAGAAGCAGCTGTATTGTCAGCTGGTCACACCTCCTGTCTTTTTGGACCAATTCCAAAGGAATCTGGCTGGGAGAGAGGTTTGGTGGGTAGGTGGCCCCCACAGAATACTTCCTGCAGGAAGGCCACAAGGAGAAGCACTGTGGCTGTGACCATCCCACTCAGGGCTCTGGGCCCACTGGACCTTTCTGTTTGCAAATGTGGCCTCTGTCCGTTTGCTCCCAGGCCTCCTTACACTTCAGTTTCACTGTGCGTTTGTTTGATCACAGCCTTTTGAGGGTCAAGACCCTCACCAGGACAAGCCCTCTTTGGATCTCTGAACCTTGGAATTCACATTGGAGTTGACCCTGACTGGATGCCCAACTGCAGAGCTGACCATTCCACTGGCTTTATCACCCCACCCCCACAGCTCTGCCCACTGAGTCTGGGTGTCCCAGCTCTGGAGGGACAGACAGACCAGTCTGCTCCATGGGTAGATGCTGACGGGAATGTGACTTCATGGGCATCTGATTCCTCTACCCTGTTCCCACCCCAGAGCCCACAAGGTAAATCCTGGCAGTTTGGGAGGAGAGGGGCATACATAAGGGACCCCCTGCCACCACCCGGAGAGCAGGTCTTGGTATTCACCGAAAGCCTGGAATTCAGCTTCAGAGTGAGCGCCTTTCCCCTTTGCCCCCTGTGCCCAAGCTCGAGCTTGGACAGCCCGGCACACAGTGTGAGGCCACGGCTCCCAGTCTGTGGAAAAGGACAGATAGACTCAGGGTTGCGGGGTCAGGGGGTGATGCATCGTCTGGAAGGCTTCCTGGATGAATGGAGCCTTGGACTGGCTTGAATTGAGTGAGCAGGGAGAGGTGGGAACGGACGAGTCTTGGCCTGAAGGCCTGGGTTCTAAGAGGCTCTAGTCTCTCCAAGGCTGGCCCCGAGGGAGCCCCCATCAAGAAGAAGCGCCCCCCTGTGAAGGAGGAGGACCTGAAGGGGGCCCGAGGGAACCTGACCAAGAACCAGGCGATCAAATCCAAGACCTACCAGGTCATGCAGGAGTGTGGTGAGTGTTCTCAGGGGACTGGGGGCCGAGGGGGTGCAGATGTGTGTCAGTAGGAGGGGGTAGGATGGGGGCTCCTATGGATCTTTTCTAAGAATCCAGAGCTCAGGGGCTCCCCACCAAAGAGGCTTTCCCTCGCCAGGAGGCTGGGCTGGGCCTCTGACCTCCCCATCCTGCCCGCAGAGCAAGCCGGCGTTGCTGCACCATCTGTGTTCAGCCGCACCCGGACCGGCACTGAAACCGTCTTTGATAAGCCGAAAGCTGGGCCTGCCAAGAGTGTCTTTGGCTGAGAAGTACACGCCACGCCACCCCCTGGGTACTGACAACACCTAGACACAGGAGTCTTTCCCAAGAACTCTTTCATGCCAGCACTCCCCTGCTCCCCTGTTGCCTCTGGGACTGCCACCCCTCCCCCCACCCCCTGGCCTCTCAGCCCAGGCCCTCTGCGCCAGGCCCTGGGAAACACCAATAAAGAGGATGCCCAGGCGGCCCTGGCATTTGGAGAGTGTCCTTGGGAACTGGCATGGCCCCTGCGTGCGGGTGGGCATGGTCTGTACCCCCCATGTCTTTGGGAGGGTCCTTATGATCCTGAGGTGCTATTGCCACTGCCCCATCCTCGCAAGAGCCTGGGGTGTGGAGACCTGGTGCTGATCTGTGTGACCTCAGACCATCTCCCCTCTTCTGAGGCTCAGTTTCCCCTTGTCTGTGACAAGGGAGTTGAGCTGAGGCCCAGGGCACAAAACAGGCCACGTGTACAGAGTGAAGCAGGTGGGCCTGGGCTGCCCCTCCCCCTGCCTTCCACAGAAGCCAGTGAGAGGCTGTTCAGGACCCAAGGCTCTGCAAGAGACAGGGACCTTGCAGGCCGCCTCCCTCTGCACCCTAGTTCAGCCTGCTCACCATCTTGCATCCCTCACAGACAAAGCCACGTCAAGGCTCCTGTGGCCAGTGGCAGGCTGCTTCCTGAGCTGCTCCCCCTCCCAACTCCAGGTGAACCTCCCCTTGTCCCTCCCACAGCTCTGCCTGAGGCCTGGGAAGTCTTGGTTCTGGGTTTGGGTGAGATCCTTTCCTCTTCAGGCCTCAGTGTCCCCTGTGTGCATGGAGCTCTCAGATTCAGGAAGTACAGAGGCCTGTCCAGCTGTGACCGCAAGATCATGGACAGCCCAGGGCTGGGCTGGCAGGGCCTGGGCTCCCATGCTTGGCTGAGGGCTGTGCCCGTAGGGAAGCCCTGCCTGTCCCCTGGGCAGGTGGAGCTGGCTGCTCTGAGCCTTTCCCATGTCCCGGCCTAAACTGGCCTCCTTATATAGCTGTTTCCAGGCTGGGCCTATGTTCTCCGCCCTGAGGGAGCAGAACGTTTTATTGCTGTTTGTTTTAAGAGCTTTTCCACTTTAGCCCTGGCTGCTATGGCTCAGGTTTGATCCCCGGTGTGGGTGCCTACAGGAGGCAACCAGTACATGTTTCTCTCTCACATCCATGTCTCTTTCTCTCCTCCTTTCTCTCTCTCCCCCTCCCACACCCTCCCTCCCTGCCTCCCTTCCTCTAAAACCAATTTACAAAGAAATCATTTCAACTCTATTAAAGGAAAATCTAAAGTCATCGGTAATCCTACCCCAGGCCTGGGGCCAGCCTCCATGGGTCTGGGCTCGAGACAAGGGCACTGCCTTGGTGTGCTGACAGAGCTGCCGTCTGCCCTTTCCCCTTCAATCCATGACTCATGGATCCCTTGGCATAACTGACCTCCATGCAGGTCACCTGTGTGTACAGGCCACCACAGGGAATCGCCCCCTGGAGGAGCTCTGTCCCTTCTTGTTTGTTCCACATGTTCAGTAAATTCCACAGAGGGAGGCCTCTGGGCCACAAGGCGTGGCATATTTTTGGCTCTCGGTTTGTGTTGCCAAAATGCAGATCTTGTGTTGGGGGCCTTGCTGGAGTTGCACCCAGAGCCCTGGCTAGATTAATGGGTCCTGAACAGCAGCCTGGGACCCCAGGAGAGAGAAGGGTCTCCTGGGCCCAGCCTCTCTCACCCCAGAAATAAGGCAGATCCACCCGGCCTTGACCCCAGCAGGTGTTGCCCCACTCAGACACCCCAAGGAGTGCTCAGGGCCTGTAGGGCCCCACTGCCCAGTCACACCAACCTGGCCTGCAGGCCCCTTCCTCCCTGAAGCTGCCCCCGCCCTCCTCTTCCCAGCCACCCCTCTGTCTCCTCCAGGCTGGGCTGATGGAGAGTGGGCTGGTTCGCTGTTGTGTCCCCAGGCCCCAGGGCGCTTGTTGGTGGACCAACTGGTGTAAAGGGTAATGCTGACCTGGGAAGGTTCTAGACCTTTCAGAAGGCATGCCAGTACCTAGCTCCCACCTGAGCCTGCCTTTCCTCAGTATAGCAAGTCCTGGAATAATGTCCTTTTATTCAACCTCTTTAGGTTATCATGTTGATGAGGAAAAATGTCAATTCCTAGTGGGGGCCACTGTGTGGAGTTTATTGGCCTCCCCATGTCTTTGTGGGTTTTCTCCATGGTTTCCTCCCACATCCCCAAGATGTGCACGTGAGATGAACCAGTGTGTCTCCATCGTTCCAGTCTAGTGTGGGTGTGTGTCAGTGTGACCTTCGATGGAGGGGTGTCCTGTTCAGGTTGGGGTCTCACCTTTTATACTCTGAGCTGGTGGGAGAGGCTTTGGGCATCCGAACCCCTAAACTGGAATAAGCAAGTTGGAAAAGCATGATCTCACTTGGTTTTATGAATCTTTCTTAAATATAAGTGTAGCTCACACTGATTTCAACATTTTGGATTTTTATCTAGAAGTTTGGTGATGTTTTTGTGACCAGAAATAGGCCACAGGAAGTGAACATCATTTCACTTAAAGTTGCCGTTTCCAAGAACCTATCCTGATGACACTGAGGACATATTGTGCATGTGTCTGTCCTCAGCCAAGGTCCACAGGACATTCACTTATCTGAGTCCACTGCAAGGTTTGGCTTGTTAATTCCAATTTCCCGGACCCTGCCCCCGGAGGGGCGGAGCAGCAAGCAGGTTACTAAATCATTCCCCACTTCCTCTCAAGTTCAGAAGCAGCCTGCCAGGCACTGGAGCCAAATGAAGCCCCCAGGCCCTGCCCGCGTCGGTGCCATCGTGCTGGTCCTGCTCTCGCTGCTGGCTGTGCTCCAGACCACCAGTGCCCAAAAGGTAGCGGGTGCCTCAGGCACCTGTGTGCGCACCGGAGTGTGAGTGGTATGAGCTGGGGAGTGAGAGCCTGTGTGTGTGTGAGCGTGCAAGTGAGCACAGATCAGTGTGTGTGCAAAAAAATGGTGCTGACCATCCACCAGGCATGTCCCGAGGGCTTGATGGACAGTCCCCCTCCCCCCGCCCCTCTTAAGCTAGAAGGGGTGATCCTATTCCATGTTCCAGGTGAGGAATTGAGTCTAGCAAGTAGACCCTGGAGGCCGGCAGTGGGGGAGGGTGGGAGCGGGGATCATGAGCCCAGCTCTCCCTCTCCCTGACTGAACGGCCTCAAGGTAATGACGCTTCCTCTGTCTCCCTTTCTTCATCTGTGAAGCAGGGTAATAATAGACCCTATTCGGAGGTTTGTTGTGAAGATGGAACCTGTAACACTATGAAGTGCTTAGTACAGTGCCTGGCACAGAGCAGACACTCACGTGTGTAACAAGCCGCTCAGCCAGGCACCACCTCTGCTAGGCGGCGTGTGCAGGTGAACAGAGCTGGCATGTACACAAGTGTGTCGTATGCAGGCTGGCGATTGTAAGGCTTCTCATGTGTGCACATGCAAACCTTAGACCTGGGTGAAAGGTCAGGTGCCTGGGTCAGTGACCTGTGGGGACTGACCGTCTCTGCAGGGCCAGGGCCTGGGCTGCAGGGCAGGGCAACTGGGGGGTGGGGCCCACGGCTGCAGGGAAAGGGGGCAAAGGAGAAGGCTCCCAGCTCTTAGGGAATGGACCCTGGTCATCTCCAGATTCTCCCAGCTCCTGGAGGCCCCTGTGGGGACTGGCAGGAGCAGTTCCTCCATTTCTGGCCTGGTCGCCAGAAATCAAAGGACTTGTTTGCTGCCCTGACACTGTTCAGAGCTAAGACCTTGAGCTTCCGGATCCCAATCGGGGCCTGGAAAAGTGAGCGTCCCCTCCCAGACACACTGGGGCTCAGGCTCCACCTTCCATCCCCTGTGTTTGGCAGACTGGTCCCTGCCCCCTGGCACTGTAGGGTGCGGAATGGAGCACAGAGCTGCCTCTTATTTGAGAGAAAGATCCACATGTGAAATGCCTCACGGGGTTTTTCCTGAGGCATCCATCGCTCAGTCTGGGTAGGGCCAGGGCTTGGTTTGGGACCTAGATCAAGGCCTGCTCTTGAAGAGCATGGCTCCAAGCAGGGCTGGCGTTGAAACAGCTCCAGCCCTCCTCCTTCACTGCTCCAGAATGCCATCGACATCTACAGCCTCACTGTGGACTCCAGGGTCTCCTCTCGGTTTGCCCACACGGTCATCACCAGCAGGGTGGTCAACAGAGCGGATTCCATGCAGGAGGCCACCTTCCAGATAGAGCTGCCCAAGAAAGCCTTCATCACCAACTTCTCCATGTAGGTGCCTTCCCGCCCCCTCCGCGTCCCCTCCCCATCCAGCTCTGCCATCCCCTCCCCCGTGTCCCTCAGGGGAGAGGACCTCCTCCTGACAGGAGGTGTGTGCACTCCACCTGCAGGCAGGACAGGAACCAGAGGCTTTATCAGGAACTTATTCCCAGAAATGTTCCACCCATCCCCCACTCCCTTCCTTCCTCTTTTCATCCCTCCACCCCTTCTTCCTTCTATCTCTTCCTCCATCCCCATCCCTCCCTCCCTCCCTCCATATTCCATCTGTCCCTCCATCCCTTCCTCCTTTCACCCCTCCTCCACCCACCTCTGCATTCCTCCCTGCCCTGTGCTGGTGGGAAGAGGGTTCAAAGCCTTTTAGCCCTGTGTCTCCCACTGGCCTGGGAGCCTGGCATCTCCCTCCTCCTCAGTCTGCCCCACACAGCTGGCACAGGGCTGGGTGCAAGCGCAGCTCAGAAAGCGTGTGCTGCTGGTCGACAGGTTCCTCTGGGACAGTCTATGAGATGGAGGGGGCAATTGGAATGTGGGGCCAGAGTGGAAGGGAGAAGACAGGCCAGGACTTAGCTCAGCCCTGTCTCCTCTGCAACCTTCCTCTCCTGTCCCTTCAGTAAAACGAAAGTTCATTTCCATTGTGCATTCCTCGGGGTAGATGGAGGCCTGGCACACCTTGCAGAGGCTTCTGGCCCTTACCCTGGGTCCTGCACAGTCTTGTACACAGTAGGTGCATAATAAACGGGTGAGGCCTGGTCAAGGTAGGAGTCACTCTATCAGGAGGCACAGCAAGTCCCTTAGAGGCTCCCTGGAGGAGGTGGGATTGGAGAGAGCCACCCCCACACACACCAGGCTCTCAACTGCACCCACCCTCTTGCCCCAGGATCATCGACGGTGTGACGTACCCAGGGAACATCAAGCAGAAGGATGCAGCCCAGAAGCAGTACAGTGCAGCTGTGGCCAGGGGGGAGAGCGCTGGCCTCGTCAAGTGAGCCCAAGGGTGTGCGGGAGACCCCAGTGGGGGTGGGGCAGAAGGTGCCCCTGCCTTTAGTTCTGCTCCTGCCTCCAGTGTCCATACCCTACCTGGTCTGGAGGGGCAGGCCTGATGCCCTCCTCCCCCAGGGCCACTGGGAGAAAGATGGAGCAGTTCCAGGTGTCGGTCAGTGTGGCTCCCGCTGCCAAGGTCACCTTCGAGCTGGTGTACGAGGAGTTGCTCAAGCGGCGCCTGGGAGTGTATGAGCTGCTGCTGAAGGTGCAGCCCCAGCAGCTGGTCAAGCACCTGCAGGTACCTGGAACTGCCTCCTCCTCAGAGGCCTCCTGGGTGACCCCTGTGCAGCCGAGGGTGGCCCCCCTGTCCCCTCAGCCTCCTGTGAGGCCCAGCCCTGGCTCCTGGCTAACCCAGTGACCCCCTTCTTCTTCCAGATGGACATTCACATCTTTGAGCCTCAGGGCATCAGCTTTCTGGAGACAGAGAGCACCTTCATGACCAATGAGCTTGCAGACGCCCTCACCGTCTCACAGAACCAGACCAAGGTGGGCCTGCCACCGTGGGTGGGAGGGGAGGGTACCGAGGGGCCTGTCTTCAGGCTGCCCTGTGAGCCTGGGTCCCCAGAGAGTGGAACAATTGGGCAGAATCTCTCGGCTGGCAGACTTCTGAGGTCTCTGTGTCCGCACTCACATGAGGGGGATGAGGAGGGCCGGGCCTAGAGGAAGACGGCGGGTGCTGATTTGAACCTGAGGTTAGGGGGCGACTGGGAAAGGACACTGACGTGAGGGTCCCAGGACCTGGGGGAAAGGCGGAGGCTGGATCATACACATCCTGAGCCCAGGCTCTGCTCACACGGCTCCGGAGCAGAGGCTCCTTGCTCACACCCATCCACTGTACTGAGGTCGTCCACCTGACAGCCCAGCCTCAGAGAAAGTTCCCTGGGATTTGACCTACGGGGGAGCTCTCATCCCGGGTGATTCTCAGATGGGGTGAGGGGTGTGAGTGTGGCCTCGCTGCTCCCCGACATCAGCCCACTCGGTCGTTCCTCCAGGCTCACATCCGATTCAAGCCGACGCTCTCCCAGCAACAGAAGTCTGCAGAGCAACAGGACACAGTCGTGGATGGCGACTTCATCATCCGCTATGATGTGAACCGCACCCTCTCTGGAGGCTCCATTCAGGTGCGTGGGCTCCCGGGGAGAGCAGAATAACCAGGAAATCCATCCGTCCTCAGGAGCCTGAGCCTGGCTGTTGCCGAAGAAAAGGCAAAAAAAACCACACAAAAACTGCTCCTTCTGGTCGGTGTGCACCGAAGGCAACAGAGAGAAAACACGCGGTTTAGAATTCCCTTTCAGAGGCAGAAAGTTTCATCAGCTAAGGAAGGTTTATTACCTCTAAACCACCTCAGATATTCAAACAAATAGGAGGCAAAGTGGAGTAGAGTTCTAGGGGGTCATGCATAGCCGGGAATATTTCACCATAAGAGTAGCTACACTGTGTGAGTGGGAGGAGATCAACCAAAAGACTTGTGTGCATATATGCATAACCCATGGACACAGACAATAGGGTGGTGAAGGACTGGAGCGGGTGGCAGACTAGAAGAGGTCAATGGGGGAAAAAAGGGACATATGTAATACTTTCAACAATAAAGAGTAAAAAAAGAGATGACGAGGATTTGGGGAGGTTATCAGTGGGACTGTGACAGAGGAGCTTAAAAGGAGGAGAGGATGGGGACCCGGGGACTTTGGGGTAAGGAGGTGGGGTGGGGCAGGGCAGGGCAGGCTGTAATTCTCTTCTCACCTGGGTGTGTGCCTCACTCTGGTCCACACCACCCCACAATGGCTACTTTGTGCTTTACTTTGCCCCGGTAGGGCCCTCTCCCTCGTTTACCTTAGAATTGTGATCCTTCAACTATTTATCATGTATTGGTTTCTATGATGGGCAAGAAAATCCAGAAAAGAGTGTTTACATCAGTCCAGGGATATGGTCCTTGAAAAACTATTTATATTCCTTATTAATTTTTGATCCTGTTCTATGTATGGTATTATCCCTCTCTTCCTTTCTTTCTTTTCTTTGTTTTTAGTTTTTGTCTTTTATGTCTTTT